GCGTAGAAGAGCTTGATAAGGTTGCTTCCGCTGGTTGACTGAGACGTTCCCAGCGTGAGCCACATCCGAGACAGGTGTACCAAAAGTGTCCCCGTCCAGCTCGGTGTCGAAGTTGATCTTCTGGATGCTTGCAATCGTCTGGATCCTTGGCCCAGGTCTTTTGTGCCACTGACCTTGAAAGGGGCTTGCCAATCTGCATCCTGAGAGTCCATTGAGCGGGATCCGGGATCCGCGCTCTTGGTCTTGACATGCTTCTTGCGGTCCTCCTCCGTCTCGAGCTCGTAGATGTCCTGGCGTCTGGTGAGGTACTCCATGGTGAGTTCCGTGCGCATGCTCTTGAACAGCACAAAGATCGCCAGCACCAAACGTTTCCAGCGAGTCTCGGCCATCATAGTGCGATCCTGAGGAGTCTTCTTCTTTTCTGGTTGAGGTTCTGGCTCCTTCAGAATCTGAGCTGCGCGGTTCCTCAAAGCGGACATGTCGAGCTCGCCTTGCACACAAAGACTTGAACACATTCATCGGCTTCGGAAATGAATGCGCGGCATCAACCAAGCCTCTTTGAAGAGGAAAACGACGTGCATCTCTGGCTTGAGGTTTCTTTGAAAGCTCAACAAGTTCAACTTCTGAATCGTCACCTATGAAGAAGTGTTCACAGCTCCCTTGACTTTTCGGACTCTGAGAGCCCAGGCTCACCTCGATGTTGTGGTCCATGATGTAGCTGCCATGAGCCTGTAGCGCAGGAAAGGTAGACAAGGAAGACTGACTCAAAGGGGTAGAGGTGGTGCAAGGGCTGGTTGGACTGCATGAAGTGTCAGTGTCATGGACATCATCTCGTGTTCCAGCAGCTCGTCCTTTTCCACCAGAATCACAACGGGCGAATTTTGCCCAAGGGCCATTCTCGGCAACAGGGCGTGAGGATGAACTGGCGGCCATCGAAGAAAATGCCTTTTGGGCGGAAGCCGGTGGCGTCGAAATCAACCGCTCCCCCAAAGAAAGAAAATCGGCCAGTGTTGCACTGGTCGAAGCAAAAACCACGGCGCCAGTCCAAGGCTGCTGCAATGAACGGTAGCGCTTGTCATGGGTGTTCCATTGGTCACGAATGACCATGCGATGGCCATCTTCGAGTCTGGCATAGGTCACCCTCTCTGGCTCCAAAGAGGTTGTGTCTCGAAGGCCAACGCAATCTTGAGGAAAGATCATGTCATAGCGAGAACCTGGAAAGCTCTGCAAGAAGTGAAGTTGATCTTGGTGAAGTAGCCAAACAGTCACGGTATTCGGATCATACTGAGCAACATGGAAATGAAGAGGTCGTTCTGGTTGAAGAACAAAAGGATCCACATCAGGGTCTCGCCGGTGTGATACCGGCAGATTCCAACCACTTGGACTGAAGTTGGTCAAGCTGACTGCTCTGTGTGCAGTTCCAAGGCGTCTCATGCTAGCTGTTTGGCCTTGACCTGTAGTCAACAAGTTGTTCTTCAAGTCGATCGTGGCCTCGATGTGTTCCAAGAAGCTGACTGGAAGAAGTGGCGGAGTCTGAAACTGGTCATAATCTTGCAACACGGTGAACCGCAAGACCGCGTTCACCTGGGCGACTCCAACAGGCACTTCCAGCTGCTTCACAACTTTGGCCTCTCCGCCAACTCCTCCAGCTGAAGGAAGTGGCGAGTTTCCCTGCACAGGGATGCACTTCAAGTTCCTCTGTCTCAGGCTCTTCTCCAGCTCATGTAGTGCCGTAGTGCCGATCACAGCCTCCTCAGCGGCGGTGTCCACAAGGGCCTCATCTGCGTAGCACTGAACACCAGCGAAGATCGTCAGCCGGCGTGGCGGACTGCTCGAAGAAGAACCCATAGCCATCATGAACTGCATTGCAGGTATTTAAGGGCTGTTTGTCCTCCAGTGTGAACCACAAACTGCTGTCTTGGAGGGCTACTGCTGGCATCAGCTCGTTGAGACAAAGGGCAATTCTTGGCGAAGTGTCCAAGCTCATTGCAATTCCAGCAGCGTGTCCTGCTCTCCAAGTCTTCTTCATTCCCTTTCCATGAGCGACTGGATGACTGTTTCCTTTTGGACTTTCCTTTGCCTCGACCCTTGACAAAAGGTCGACGGACTCCTTTCTTGCCTCCTTTGGAACGACCAGGATCTCGACCATGTCTCACATAGCCTCTTTCTGTTTTGCGCTTCTGCAATTCACGTCGGGCGTCACGGTAGGCCAAATGGTAAGCCTTGAGCTCAATGGCCTCCGTCTCCTGGTACTCGCGGTCCTCCATGTAGAACAGGCAATTCCCATTCTCATCACAAGAGGCGGATTCATCACCATCTTCACGTGGCCAACTCTCAAGATCCATAGGATCACCTTCCGTTTCATTGTCCTCCTCGTTCTCAGGGTTGTCCGGGTAGTAGTCCTCATAGTAGTCGGACGTGATCATGTAGTTCCTTGAACTGGAGGGCTCTTGAGCTCGGGCCAACATCTCTGGTCGGTCAAGAGGTCGCAGAAGGTTGGCGATCTCATCAAATGGACGAAGCATGGGGCCTCTCAACAGGAGCATCTCTCTCTGTAGGTCGTTCAAGTTGGCATGCTTCAAGAGGATCCGGCCACATAGTCGGTCGTTGATGACCTCCCCAAGCTGCAGTTCCATCTCTTGCTTGGCCAGCGTCTTGGCCGCGATGTAGGAGGTGAAGCTTTCACCTTTCTGTCTCTCTCCATCGAACAGGAACTTGTCGATCGCCTGAGGTGCAGTGGCTTCCAAGAACGGAGCGTACTTCTGGTGAAGGGCACCCAAGATTGCTCCATAGCCATTGGCTGAGAGCAGCACCTCAGTTGGAATCGTGTCAGCGATTCTCCTTGGCTGGGAACCTTCAGGAAAGGACTGTAGCAACTTAATGCCTCTCTTCTCAACCGGGACATTTGATTCATACTCCCATAGTGCAAGGAGCTTCAGCCATGATCTCAAAGTCGATGGTGAACCATTCCATGAAGGCAGCGTCTTGCGCTCTCCAGCTAGGGCCTGATTCAAGGCACTTGCGATCAACTGCTCAGGGGTCTGTGCACTTGTAGGCACAGCTGCATTCGTTGGGGCTGACTTACCCAACATGGAAAAAGCGCTCGTCGGCGAAGTCGTCGAAGCGTCATTGGGCTGGGCACCTTGGCTACCTAAGGCACTTGCAAAGGCCGCAGCGGAGAACTGTGGTGCATGCTGTGGTGCACCTCCGGGTGAACTCTGTGGTTGTGGCTGCTGCTGCATCTGCGGCATCGTCTGTGACGTTCCAGCCGCTGCAGGCTGCATCTGCGGCATCGTCTGTGACGTTCCAGCCGCTGCAGTAGGGCTCGTAGGCCATGTCGTCGATGGCCAGGTCATAGACCATGGAAACCTAGCAGCCGGGCCAGTGGGCACACTCCATCCGGGGTTCCTTAAGGAAGCGTCGGTGTTCGAAGGTGTCCACCTTGCCCATGGGTCTCCGCCCTTCATCCAAGGCACCGAAGGTTGTCCAGGTACCTGAAGGTCTTCAGCAGGATCCACCTGCTCCGCCTACCACTGTGAAAGGCAGGAGTTCGGGGAAACTTCCGGAATGCTAACAAGCAAACGGCATGGCTCTTTTCCAATGCGCACCCAGGTGACTCAAGGCCTGAACCCGATGGCAACAGTCGGATCTAAAGCATCTCATGAATGTTCACACCTTCATCAGATGTGACTACTCCTATAGAGATCCTCATCAGCATTGTCAGCATGATTAGTTCCTCCATGTTTCTGATGGGGCCTCCCATCTGGGGCCCTGGGGCGGATGGGGCCCCAGAAAAAAAATTGAATTTTCAGGGGTGTAGGACCTACACCTGGCCAAAAATTATTCCATATGTGAACAGTTCTCAGGAATAATTTAAAGCAACTTCCTCACCAGAAGCCTTACTAGTTTTTGCCCTCCTGTATACAATCTCC